ACTGGGCCCTAGCTCTCCTTCTACCTCAGTCTGAAATGGCTGATCCAGGAACTCTCCCAAACCCCAGACGGAAGCCTGTCCTCAGTGTGGCTGATGAATCCTGAGACTTCAATGTCTTCCTATCCTCAATGTGGCTGGAGAATGAAGGCCCGATAGTGACCACTGAAGACCCTGCTCCTATCTTTTATACCCCTCTAGAGCTGAGATTAAAGGCATGCCATCCCAGGTGCTGAGATCATCTCTGTGTGAGCTGCTTCTCTTTAAGAATGGATCAATCTTGTGTAGATCTGGATGGCCTTGGACTCACAGAGACCCATCAAACTCTTAATCCTGAGTCCTAGGATTAAAGGTGTGCACCACCACCTCTTGCTTCTGGCTGCTGGGAATAAAGATGTGTATCACCACTGGCTGGTCTCTATAGCTTTGCTTTCTGAATCCTCAGGTAAGCTTTAATAAATAGTAAATAATACGTCACCACATGGATGAACACAATTCATTCAAGGCACGCCTAAAATGAAGTCTGCCTTAGCACTCTAAATATACTTGTTATAATTTGTTGTTATAATATTGACGTTGTTTATTCATTCTTAGTCTCATCTTCCCAGTTGTAGGTGTGATTCCCAACAGCCCACACTTGTTAGTTAAGTGATCAGTGACAAGCTTTATCCCTTCACAAATACTTTCTCTCTAAAATGGGAAGAGTACTTGTCCCCACTGCACAGAGTTATGAGGACAAATCGGTTGAACTGTCCCTGGCACTGGATGCGGAGCACATCCAGGGGCTGCAGAGTGGCAAGTTTTGTTGATTTTATGCCCCCCCTATTCTTTATTCCCATATTCTTATGAGTCAACAGAGAAGACCATCAACAGAGAATTAAAATGTAAAGATTTGAGATTGAAAAGGGCACAGGGGAGATTCAGTATAAAACGGTGGTAAGATTCGATGGAACTGAAGTTTAGGAGAAAAAAAATCCCACAGAAGTAGAAGAACCTCCCTCAGAAAGCCTTATAAACCAGGGTCTGGGGAGACAGTCCAGTCAGTAGTAGACTTGCAACACACTCATGAGGACGTGTGCTCTGGTCCCTAACACTCATGTAAGAACAGGGCATGACAGCACGCACATGTTTGTAACCTGAGTAGGGACAGGGCTTGTTTGGACACAGATGGCTCTCTGGAACTTGCTAGTCAGTCAGCCTAGTCAAATTACTAAACTCAGGGTTTGGTGAGAGATCTTGTCTTTAAAACTAAGTCAGAAAACAATAGGGGAGGACACCCAGCTTTGACCTTCTGCACACACACAAACACACACACACACTTCCAGGCTCAACACTGTGATGGTTGGTTTTAATTGTAAATTTGACATGATATAGAATCACCAGGTGCCTGCCTCTAATCCCAGCACTCGGGAAACAGAGGCAGGTGGATCTCTGTGAGTTTGAGACCAGCCTGGTCTACAAGAGCTCATTCCAGGACAGCCTCCAAAGCCACAGAGAAATCCTGTCTCAGGGTAGAGGGGAAGATTCCCTGGGAAGAGAATGTCAATGAGGGATTACCCGGGTTGGGTTGGGCTGTGGGGATGCCACTGGGATACTGTCTTGATTCCATTAATTAATGTGAAAAGACACAGCACACTACAGGCAGCATCATTCCCTGGATTTGGGTACCAGATTGTACGAGAATGGAAGATGCAAGCATGATTGTATCCATGTCTCTCTGCTCCTCAGTGAGGAGATGATGTGATTTTAGCTGTCGTAAATTCTTGCTGCCTTGACTTCCCTGTTACAATGGACAACCTGGAATTATAAGCTAAAATAAACCTGTTCCCCCCCAATTTATTTTTGTCAGGGTGTTTTATCACAACAACAGAAATAAAACGGTGATACAAGTTCTTCAATGTAGTCTCCTCAATATTTAAGCAAGGTATTGTCATCAGATATTTTCGATAAAACTGATAAACTTGAAGCATACGCCTGGTGATGGCAGTGCTAAGACGAACCACCAGGATCAGACAGCACTGCCAACGGGTCCTGTAAATCACTGTGAGGATCCAATAAGATAACACAAGGGCAGTCCTTGGCACGAAGCCTAGTCCACTAGCGGTGGCTGAAGCCATTGTTGTACATTGGACATGTCCCTCTTACACAGGGACAAATGGTGGCACTCCGGCTCCTAGGGAAGTGGAACGTCTAATCCGGAGCATTCAGCAGCGTCCAAAGAAGAATCTGAATAGTCTGCTCTGAGGGTTCACCATGTTGGTGGAGATTCTTTCTCAGCCTGGTTCCACTGCCCTCCTCAGCCCCGAATGAGCACACAAAGATTTGTATTAATTATTATACTGTTGGCCGATGGCTGGGGCTTCTTACTGACCAGCTCTCTCTTAATTATTAACCCATAACTACTAATCTATGTATTTCTACATGGCCTTATCTTACCAGAGAACGCCAGGCACATCCTGTCTTCCCAGTCTCTACATGGCGTCTCCTTGAGGTCTCTCTCTACCTACCTTTCCCAGAATTCTCCTCATCTCCTAGTCCTGCCTATCTTCCTGCCTCTATTGGGCAAACAGTGTTTTAATCCTCAACTAACAAGAGAAACATATATGCAGAAGGACATCACCCATCATCGCTGAGCTTGGAGTTCTATTGCTTCCCCCCACTCCCCTACCCCGACTTTGTTCTGTAAGATCATGATGCTGAAGTAGTACAGTATTCCAGCTTCAATCCCAAACCTAACCACATTTTTTCTCATTGGACCCTAACCTTCATTAAAAGCTTGGGCGATGAGGCATTGGCAGCATCCGCAACCAGAAAAGCAAGAGGAAAAGCAGCTGGCACTAGAGAGTCCTGTGCCAGGCCCGGAGCCCAGAGGGAGTCCTCCGTGATTACAATGGTAAATCAGCAGAGTTGATGACTATGCTGGGCACTGGACCCTGCCAGAAAGGGACAAGGGAAAGAGGATTCTTGTAATTACACCAGTGCAGGCTCAGCTCTCGAGAGGTCTCTGCGGCACAGCCGTCTGTCCCCAGGCTGGGCCCTACAGCCGCAGCACCTGTTCCAGCAGAAGCAGTTTGGCAAGCCAAACAGAATGTGATTCATGCAGGCCACCTGTAAAGGAATCCGATGCCTAACAACCTGTGCAAAGCTCCTAATTGTCTTAATCCACTTGGCGCCTCTCACTGATGGGTGCTAGTGGTAGAGTAAGAGACCATTGCCTGCTGATGTGGTTTTATCCCCCACCTCATAAGTTAACACTGTGAGAAACTGGGCCATCTGAAAAAACCCAAGCACCATATTTTCACCCACGGACTCATTTTCAGTATCGCTTCTGTTGGCTCCTCTATGCACTCTGGCTGTAAACATCTTCCTTTCTGGGGCTTTTTTTTTTTCAGCTGCTTCTTCCCCATTGCATCATTTGGGTGATAATTATTTTCCCATTGTCCCCTCCAGCTGGCACTAGTCTTGGTTGTTTCCATCGTGTGTATCCTTAAAATGTCACACTGTCACCCTGGCTTATTTTTTCAAGCCCAGAAAGATGGCCCATCATCACACCTCTTAGAAAAGTTTTCCTAATGGCTTCCCCAGGGGTTTCTCCCTCCACTGTGCAATGACGATACGGCAAGCCAACCACTCACAGCTGCGCATCGTTGCAAAGGAAAGGCAGGGAAGCAATTGCGCGTGCCTTCTGTGACCATTAAAAAGCAAAGGTGGGTGGTAATTAGACCAGAAACGTGTGATGAGAGCGCCCCATGAGTCAAGTTCCTATTGTATTTTCATGCTGCACCGCACAAATCAGAGGCTATCTCCGCTGTTTAGGGCTCCTGTAAAGAACTCGCCTTTGAGACAGTTTGTTCTGCTTCTGCACCCATGACCCCTAAAAGGGCAGAGTAGCCCATTGCTTATCCCGGAAGACAGAGGGCGAACAAGTTTGAGGGGAGACTACGACAAAATAATAGTTTACCCTTTTTGTCTGACAATGTCATCACCAGTTTGATGACTTTGGAAATTCTCTTTGGGTGTCTCTCTTTTTATGTCAGTATGCATTACCGGTAGAACCAGATTGTATGATTGAATACTAACCAAGGTTGACAGTCTGTACTCTGGAAGGAATCAAGCTTATACAATGATTATTCGGATGATTTCTAAAGGTTAACCCTGGGGCTGGAGAGATGGCTCAGTGGTTAAGAGTGCTGACTGCTCACAACTGTGTGTAATTTTCATTCCAAGAGATCCAACACACCCCTGGCAAAACACCAATGCACATAAAATAAAAATAAATTATAAAAAAAAGATTAACCCTAAAAATTTACATGAGAGTGAATCTTCCTGCTCTTACGTTGAAGTTTTAAAAAGAAATTAAAGGAGACCACAAGCAATATCAACAACCCTTTCCTCAAAATTTCTATAAACTTTGTGCTGAGACCATAGCTCGGTGGGTAAAGGCGCACTTTGCAGCGTAAGCCCGGTGTGTGCACACACCCTCCAATACACACCCAAAGCTGGATGCAGTAGCGTATGTGTCTACGGCCTCAGTGTGACTCTGGGAGGAGATGGGAGCCTGAAACGGGAGAACACCCTATCGCAGAAAGGGAACCCTGTCTTAAACAGTGGCCAGGGGAAGATCAACACCCAAGGTAATTTGCTGCACCCACACACATGGACGACAAGCTAGCAGCCACACAACGTGCATCCCAACACACACTGAAGGACCCAGAACCTCACCCAGCCCCTGCTTCGGCAGCCATGACAGGCTGCAGAAGAGACCCAGCAAGATGTAGACCCCGGACTCAGCAGGATGTGCTGAGCCCCGTACCATTATGTAAAGAGAAGCTTTTTCCTTGAGAGAAGCCTTCCTGCCAGCCTGGTTCTAGAGCCGCATCAGTCCCAAATAAACACACAGGAGGCTATATTAATTATGAAGCTGTTGGCTTTGCTTGTTTCTTACTGGCTAGCTCTGACTTAAGTAATCACCCCATAATTGTTAATCTAAGTATGTCTCTTACCGGAGAAGTTTCCGGGCTTCCTACTCCATGGCGTTACATCTCGACTCCCGTCTTTCTCCTTCCCAGAGTCCTCCTGGACTCCTAGTCCCACCGATCTAGATTCCTATTGGCCCAACAGTGCTTTATTGACACAGGACTTCCACATCACCCGCACCTTGCCCTACCTTGCCCTAATTACTGGGAATAAACTGCCAGATACCCTCCATGCGGTAAGGAGCCAATCAAAAGTTAGCTGGCAGGCTTTGGATGTGCTTTACTGATAACAGTGGAAGGCAGCAGGTAGCAATGGCCCCCGATGGCCTCCAGGCACAGCAGCAACCTTTCTGCAGCTGCAGATGACCAAACAACTCAGGACAGGTTGCCCCGTCCCTGAGCTGCACCAATCCTGAGACTGTTACTATGCAACTAGCAAACCCCCACACACACCCCTTGCTCTACCCCAATATAAGCCCTGCCCCACTGCTGCTCGGGGTCCCTCCTACTCCAGCCTGGTGTGTTGGATGGATGGAGTACCCGAGTTAACTCATAAATTTATAAAAGACTCTTTGCTTTTGCATCGGATCTGGTCTCTTGGCCGTTTGGGGGGTTCAGAGTCTGGGCACAGCAACACAAAGCCAGGAGATTATTTCAGAGAACTTCAAGGAATCCAGTGGTCAATGGGCACCGACTACTTCTCAATCGACACAGTGAATGCCAGTCTTACAGAGAAAAGAGATGAATTGTGAAGGTGTTAGAATAGTTTACTTACTGGCAAAAAAGAGTTGAAAACAAACTAAACTTGATCCACATAGTCCCCCAATGCTAGCACACAAGCTGCTTTTCTTTCTTCTTTTTAAATTATTCTGGGTCCTGGAGCTTGAACCCATGGACTCACAGGCTAAGGTACATTGCCAATCCTAGAATTTATTTTTTAAGAAAAAAAAAAGGCTACCTCCTTCCTGTTCTATTTTGTATTAAAAACTAATTTGAATTTCAATCAGCAGTACTCACATTGGCATAATTCCATAGATAATAACAATTAGGAACACCAGTTACGTCTGCAGCTATTTTTATTAATTTTCCTTTTGCATTGAAAAGCACTTTTAGGGTACAATCAGATCTTTTAATTCAACAGTAAGAACCATTTTAACTCCAAGTTAATTGAACACAAGAACTATATTAGTTAGGAATTTAGGGGAATACATCATGAAGCTCAAACCTGAATCAACTGAAGAAAAAGATTTTTAGGAGAATAATTACATATTTCGGATTTGAATGACAGCAAGGCCTGCAGTTACATGACTACATCCAGCAAGAAGTTGAGACACCCTTAACGCGGGCCACATTAGGGGAATGACCGGAATCCAGGCGCTAGTAATTCTCAATTTCACGAGTCAGAAGAGTATTGGAACGGCTACTAGATGATGGGCCAAAAATAAATACAGTAAAAGCAATTACGGATCCTGCAGGTCCACACCGAACCACAAGAAGGATGGTAATAAGGTAACGCACAGCGTTGTAAGGGGGCGGTAAGGCAATATGTAATACTTTGGCTTATCCCTCTCTCCTCTTTCCCTCTCATCCTTCTCCTCCTTCTTTCCTTCCTCCCACTAAAGCTATAATAGCCAGTCAAAGCAATGGAAAGTCTCTCTCCCTTTCTTAAGATTTTTTTCCCCGCACTTCTTCCTTATACCCAAGTTCTGGCTGGATGGAAATGTCCCTCAAGAGTGCACATACAGCATCGCTAGTATTAATGCTAGAACAGTTTCGGAGTTGCCTATGTTACGGTGAGGGGCAGGGCTGCTTCGGCGCTGCAGGCTGAGGCTTTCCACTATGCGCTTGCACACTCGGAATCCATTGCTTCATCTTCCGGGCTCTGGGATTTGGATGCTCGCTCCAAGTCCTGCTGCTTCTTCAGTTGCTGCATTTTCATGTTTAAATCCAGTAAAGTTCGGGCCAGCTGATGGTTCTGGAGACGCAATTCCAGCTAGGAGAAAAATAATAATAATGATGATAACAATAATAATAATAATAATAATAGCTTGAGATACAGATTGAATGAAACTGCTCTCTGGCTGCGCCTGACAAGTAAGGAGTAGGCAGCCAAGGAAAACGAGACAGGAAGAAAGATGTGTTTGTCTCATCTTACTCTCCCTTCCTGACTGTTGGCTCCGGCTATTAAAGTAGCTTTTTCTACAACAAGGTAAAATCCAGATAAATAAATAGCTTTTGAAATGGCCTTGAAATGAAAACAAAAATAGCTGATGCACAAAGCTGTCCGTGTGAAAAATGCCTCCGCACCGAAGGCTGTTCTCAAGGAATGGCGAGCGAGCCCAGCGAAATGATTTATCTTTATGGGCTTCCGGAGCCACCGGATAACTGCCTGGGGCCACCTGAGTGCTGGGGTCTGGGCTCATTTTCTTGATTACTTGTCATTTCGAGTTTTCAGGATTTTAAATGGCCTCCCTGCTGAGTAAGAAAAAAAAAAAAACACCTCAGAGGCACACACGTATGGTTATATGTCCTTACATAATCTAACACTGTTATGTAGCAAGGCTGACTCATAACCTCCTCCAATGGGAGCTTGTGAGGCCCTCATGTGTTCAAATAAAATTTTAAAAATGACTTCTCCGAGAACAGGTTACTTAAGAGGCAAGTCCACCAACAAAGTTTGGCCCAGCTGTGTTATAACCTAAAGCTAAAGATCAACTGTTTGCACAGTGCATCGATGGAAGTCACGCTTCATGCAGTTGTAAAATAATGTTCTCTGAGTGCCAGCGTCTCTCAGCTCAACAGTAGCCCTCGGGATGAGCCAGGGCGCTGTAATAGTTAACTGCAAATACTGCACTGGCCATTTCTCCTCGATTTGCAAAATAAAATATTGTGCAGAGGCATCTTTTCCTTTTCCTCTCATGCTTATCTTTTTTTGATCTTGGCACTTGGAACCACTTCTCTGGAAAAGCAAGAATGGGAAATGTTGAAGGAGACAGACGCCCAAGGCACCCAGCAAACAAGCCGAAACAAACCACACAGCCATCGCCATAAGAAGACCCCGTAATCTACCAGAAGGCTGTCCTCTGATGTGTTCCTGCGGCTCTAGACTCCTGCCCTGCCTTTCAGCCTCGTTTCCTGGCACTGTCTCCATGCCAGCTCCTATCACAGGTAGTAGGACACCCTGCCAGTCCCAAGGGAATGCTGTGCTGAGACACACCTCCGTCCGACTCTCTGTTCTAGAAAGCGCCTTGCTATGTCTCTTTCCGTGGAATGCAAATGAGTATCAATACTCCCTGAAAAGCCTCCCGTAATCGTGGTCAGGCGTCATCGCCTCTTAATCGTGTCTCCACAGCGTCCCTTTGACATCCCGCTGGTGACCTACAGACGGCACTAGACTGGCGCTGCTGAAGGTAGAACTCTTCCTGACTGATTTCTCAGTCATGAATGCATTGCCTAGGCATGCAGGGTAGGGGCTCAGCATCCTTGTTAAAAGACTTAGCGGATGCAGGGATGGATCAATGAGGCGATGGAGGTCTGCCCTCGGCTTTCATGCCAAGTACCAAGGGGTAAAATTACTGATAACGATTCACCCATCTAAGTGAAGTAAGTGTAATTCACACTCATTTGGGAAACACAAACGCACATGGTTTCTAATCCGAGAGCCTGATGAAAGCTCCAGAACTTCTCTGAGGAATGGGGGACAACAAAAAAAGGCTATATATATATAGAAAACTTTAGGTTTAACTCCAGAAATCCAAAGAACTCAGAAATTAATGTCACCCTTTAGTAAGCTAAACAGAATATAATATACATAACAATGTGAGTGTTCATCATTACCCTATACATGATGTCTACACACGGGAACACTAATTCCCATAGAGATCTAGCAAACGACCCAAATCAAACACGCCTTCTAGTGGTGATGATACACTCTAAGCTAAGCATCCACACTTTGCTTCTTTCTTATGACCAGTCACATGGACCAGGGAGTTCCTGAAGATGTGGACCAGGGCCTACATACACTCCAAGACAACAGCATCTGGATTTGTGTAAAATTCTCTGCTTCCTTTCCAGGGATTTTAAATTCCTTTTCATTTGTTTTCATTTCTTTACTTGTGCATGCCTGTGTTTGCATGTGTGAATACAGTCAGACTTGGGCCACACAGTGTTCCTGTGTGCCAATCAAGGAGTGGGTGGGTTTTCTCCTGCCACTGGGGATTGAACTCAGGACTTCAGGCCTGCCCACAAGCGCCCCCTTAAAGCGCCATGTCTTGGGTTCAATTCTCAATTCTTGATATGTCCCTATTTGTCCTTTGAGGCACAGTCAGCTTCCAAGATCTATAATAATTGTAAACATAACAACAGTCAATAGAGAGTGCATATGACCTAGGCGTGTCGCATAATATTATCTCATATGATTATTACAGTCATCCCATGAGGTTATCTCTACATTACAGATGAGTAAACAAACTTGGGTCTACAAATTCACACTCTCAAAGCTTAACAGTCAGTAAATGTTAGCAGAGCCTAAGAGTCTGTCACCCATAGTACATTCCTTGTCTAAGCCTCCTATTGATGAAGCAACTTGTTGGAATGTTAAGGTTAAAGGTGCCTCCCAGCGAGCTTGTCCAGCATGACCTGGGTATGAGTCAGTGGGAGGTTGGGGGAGGGGGTGACCTATCCCAGCTCAGCAGCATAGGTAGAGGGTTCGGCCAGACCCAGGCACTCCTCCTGGTGTTCAGTGAGATGGTTTCGCCAGGCAGCTTCTTGGGCTCACCATTTATACTCTGGATGAGAACCAGGGGTCCCACATAACACCGCTAGATCAAACACGATGCATTCCTCATCAAATTCAGATCGCTAGTATGGTTAAATTGGATTTGCTATCATGTTGTCCTTCTTAAAACCAGAAATGAAATGGATCACCCTCCTCCGCGGTTTCTTAACTGTGTTCTGAAGGAGTGGTTAATGCAGAGAACGTCCAAGTCTCCATTACACAGCATTCGTATACGTCACCATTTTAAAGGCTGAGTTCTTTATACGTTTGTCCTTTTCAAACTGTCTAATTGTTTCATAAAAGCCATCTAAAGTAACTACATACATGCCTTCTTGTTAAACGCCCAGTTTTCTGAATTCTTAGCAAGGGGTAAAATAAAAAAAAGAAATAATTGGCATGACTTAAGAGTTTCTGATGGACTCAATCTATCTGTGCATCTAGGTCGTAGGTTTCATTGAAACCTCCGTCTGGGCATGCTACACATACATAGACTAAGAGTTTGCTTTGGGGAAGCTTCTAGACTAGAGGCTAGAAAACTACAGACACAGACTGGGGAGGGGCTCCTGGAGTCTGCAATGGTCACTAAACTGTAGGCCAAGCCCTGCTCCATGGAGTTGTGACACAAGGAGGCCCCAACACGGAGTCTAGAGGAAATCAGACGCCCAGAAGAGATCTTCCATCCCAGCCCATAGGACACCCCTCCCCCGCCCCCGGTCCTCCTAAGGTTTTGGAGCCGAGAGCTCGGCTCAGGGGTGCGAGCCCCGCCGCCGCGCAGCCCGCGCTCACCAGCTCCGCGCGCAGCCGGGCCAGCGCGCACTCCATGCGCGCCCGGGTCCGCTCCTCCCGCGCCGCCGCCGCGGCCGCCGCCACCGCCGCCACCGCCTCCCGCGCGCGCCTGGCGCGCCCTCGTGCCGCCGCCCGCTGGAAGGCGCGCTCCAGCTGTCGCCGGAGGTGCTCCAGCACCGGGCTGGATGCCCGGGCCTGCTCCTGAGCCTCGATGCGCCAGGTGCCGCAAGGGATGCGGTGCACCAGATGAAAGGCTGGGGACCACAGCGCAGCCCTGCCTGCGACCCCGTAGAGTCCCCGGGACATCCGCTGCCTGCAGTGGCTGTAGTCACCCAAGCCCATCGCTGTCTTTACTGCGGCTCTCTGACTGGGGATTTGGTTGCAACTTGGAGCTTTTTAAGGCCGATCGGGGCGGGGGCGGGGGCAATTAACGGAACAGGAGGACCCTGGCAGTGAACGCTGTCACTGTCGGGCCACTCAGAGCGCCGCTCGGCTCCTTGTCCATCTCCTTGTCTTCTCTACCTCATAGCAACAAGGGAAAGAAGGAGGCCTTGTGACTAGACTAAAGGTTCCGACTGGATCGCGTTTTTTTTTTTTTTTTTTTTTTTTTTTTTTAATGCATGGAGACTGGAACAATCGACCCATGCGGAGTGGAAGCCGAGGAACAAGCTGAAGGTTTTGCAAGGCAAAGAAGAATATTTGACACAAAGCTGTCCCAGTTGTCTCATTTCTTAGTACTGGGCCCTTTTGAAATAGTTTCTGGCGTTTTACACTTTGAACACGGTGCCAGGTGTAACAGAAAGTCTAGATGTCCTTCTGACCTCCTACAGCCAGGGGGCGCAGTTCAGCCCAGTTTGCAAGTTAGAATAGTCTTTCTAATCATCTTTCTGAGATCCCAGTAGCCCAGAGTTCTGAAGCTCGGTGCTCCGCACTGTCCTGGACGACTTCTTGCCGTGTCCACGTATAAGAAAAGGTTTAAAATGAAAGGTCAAAAACCTCCCTTACTCCAAAGTGTAAGACTGTATAATTCCCAGTCGAATGTAGTCATGCATTGATAATATAATTATCTGTCACAGAAGGCATTTTTAACTGCCTCTTTTGGAGCTAATTGAGTTTCTTTACAGGAATGAACAGTCAAACTTACGTGATCATAGACAACCGTTACAAGAAGAAACAGTGGCGGAGACAGTCAAACCGTACTCTCCCCAGAGAGTTAATGATTCCTCTATGAAAGATTTGTCCATTGTCTGAAGGGTCAGTGGTAGGTGTAAAAGATAACAAGAGCTCATTTATATTATATGCCTTATATTTATTATATATTATTATAGAGCTTACTATATGTCAGACACTTCAGTTATTAACCAATATAATATCTACACTGCCCTGTGAAATGGATGCAAATCTTTCCATATTTTCCAAACAAGGAAAGTGGAGTAAAAAGTTCACATGCATTCCTACCAAAAAGCCAGTCACAAACCCAAGTGGTCTTCTGGGGATTCATACCTAGGAAGTCTGAGCTCGTAAGATTAAGTTTACTGAAATGGCCTCAGTCTTCACTGCATAAGGAATGCAGGTCACCCAGCCTCTGCAAATAATCGCCAAGGTCAATACCTGATAGTTGACAACATAAGCACAGCCATTGCTTATGGTTGTGTAAGAGTTGCTAGATAAATGTGGAGATGTAGTCTTCTAGTCAAAAGAGGAGTCTAGGGTCTAGGGAAGATGGCTAAGTGCAGAAGTGCTTATCATGCAAGAATGAGGACCTAAGTTTGCATCTGCAAAACACATGCAAAATGTCCAGGCAGTGGTGCCGATAATCTCAGCCCTGAGGAGGCAGAGACAGAGAGACTGGTGGAGCTTGATAGCAAGCCAGACATAGAGCTCTGGCTTCCATATGCACATATGTACACAGAACACAGAGAGGAGAGAGAGAGATAGAGAGAGACAGACAGACAGACAGACAGACAGACAGACAGACACAGACAGAGAGACAGACAGAGAGACAGAGACAGAGACAGAGAGAGAGACAGAGACAGAGAGATAGACAGAGAGAGAGAAGCATCCATAGTTTTTGTGGTCAGAGGGATTGGGAATTTTTGTTTGTTTCCTCTGTGTGTGTGTGTGTGTGTGTGTGTGTGTGTGTGTGTGTGTATGTGATATCTGTTAATGGAGCTTGAAAACCAGCCCTAAATAATGAACAATAGAAATGTTTAAAATGAATGTTCTGCCATGACTTTTAACTTGAATTTCCAGAACATTTACTTCAACAAGAATTTCAGTTAAGTTCAATTTAATTCAGCAGAGTGAATGGTACATGTTCAGTATTAAGTCCTGGACCATGTGAGAGAAATACAAAGATGAATAAGATATGGTTTTGCCTCCAGAATCAGAGAACCTGGAGAAACAAACTCATTCATTCAGCAATGCCTTATTAAGCATCAAATATTATATATAATGTCAAGGCTACAATAGTAAAGCAGAGACACAACAGTATTTTAAAATAAGCATATATTATCACAAATTAATTATTTTTTATATTTTTCAGCTGAAGTGTGCTTTGACTTTTAAAACAGATTTTTTTCTTTTACACTGAAAAGTTGAATTGAAAGTTATTGAATGAAGAGTAAGTATAACATACATAAGACATTGGAATTAGAAAAATATTGGTTAAGCCTGGAGGTGGTGGCACACACTTTTAATCGCAGCACTCAGGAGGCAGAGGCAGGTGGATCTCTGAATCTGAGGCCAACCTGGTCTACAGAGTGAGTTCCAGGACAGCTGGGACTACATAAAGAAACCCTGTCTTGAAAAACCAAAAGAGAAAAAAAAAAGAAAAATATTGGTTATCTGATGAAGTGTAATAAATTAACCCCAAATTCAATGACGTAAAAACACTAACTGGTCAACTGTGGTGGCACATGTCTTTAATCTCAGTGCCTAGCAGACCGAGGCAGGTGGATCTCTATGAGCTTGAGGTTAGCCCTCATAGAGAGTTCTAGGATAATCGGGGCTACATAATGAGACCCTGTCCCCCAAAAACAAACAAAAAGAGAAGAAAATAAAGAAAGGAGGGAGAAAGAAGGAGGGAGAGATGGAGGGAGGGAGAAAGGGAAGAGGAAAAGAAGGAAGGAGAAAGGGAGGGAAGGATGAAGGAAGGAAGGAAGGGAGAGGGAGGGAGGAAGAGAGGGAGGGAGGAAGGAAGGAAGGGAGGGAGGGAGGGAGGAAGGAAGGAAGGTAGAGGGAGGGGACAGAGGGAGGGAGGGAGAGAGGGAGGGAGGGAGGGAAAATATGAAAACAGGATTGTAGAGATAGTTCCCCATTTACAGCAAGAGGATCAGAGTTTGGGTCACCAGAACCCACACAAATGCCAGAGAGTATGGCACCTGTAGTCCACCCTTGGAAGGCACAGACAGTGGGAAACTAGCTGTGTAGGAAGACTTTGAGCTTGCTTTAAAAACTCTGCCCCCAGGGAAAAGTGGAAACGCTGTCAGAGCAAGACTCCCCATATCCAACTCAGAACAGACACACACAGACACAGACACAGACACACACACACACACACACACACACACAGGCACGAGGTACCGGGGGCAATATTTATTCCTCAGTTTCTATGTGAATGAGTTTGGAGATCGCTTGGATGGCAGTCCGTGGCTTTCATGACACTGTACTGGAACATCAGCCAGTTATGCTGTCCCCTAAAAAGGAATGTCAGTCTACGATGTAGGAGAATAAGGAGGCAGATACAGAGAGAAGAGCTGCTCAGGCAGGGCACTGAAACAAACTTGGAGCCTCCAGAAATGATTCCAAAACGAGAAAGAACAGAGTATCATCTCACAAACAAAAAAGCAACTCCTGTCCCTGGATTGTGTGTCTCTTCAGTGCACTCAGTCAAAGTGGGTCACACAATGCACTGATAAGTCACATCACATTGTCAGCCCCAAGTGCAACAAGCCCGGTACTGGCTTCCTTGAACTGTGTTATGCCTTGAATAGACAGACAGTCAGCAGGCAAGAAATGGCAGAATTGCGATTGGATTTCACATCTATATGGCTCCAAGGGTCGTGTTATCTCCCCTCTGTCACACCAGGCTACACACACTTGCTGTTCATCCACCATCATATGCCTTGGACCACTTCTCTGTGGCCTTGTGGACACCAGAGAAAGTTCACGTCACACATCATGTTTCCAGTTTACACAGTCCGGGGGCCAAACCAAAGCTGAGAGTTCTTTAAAACACTGAAGCCAAACCCCATCTCTGAATCCGTCTAAGGAAATGGGTTGCTTACTAAAAATCACCATTTATCTCCTCGACAAGTGATGGCTGAAATAATGAGCGACACTTACATCTGTTATGGTGGAAGCTTTGTCCTAGCTCCTGGCATCCATGTACACAGAGTCTGGAATGTTCTGGTAGAAGTCCGCCCACACCCCCCTATCTCTCTCCAAACCCTGCTGCACCCCAAAAAGACCTCCAAATGACTACCCCTCCCACGTGTTGTTAAACTGCCTCCCAGAAAACAAACTTGTGGTTTTTCTGGCCCCCCTTTCCTGTCTCCTGTCTGGGGGGGGGTTGGAAAGTCATCTGGGAGTGTTATATCTATTAAACGTGGGCTTTTTCTAATCCAGTTTGATTTGGTCTGATTTGGATTGCTGCGTCTGCAGAGGGGCTTATGGGGGTGTAGAAACTTTTCATCGCCTACATCCTTCAAATAGCACACCCACAATGTGATGTTTCTGCCTGGTCACCTTTCCCTGGGAAATCTTCACCGCAGTCCCTGTGTGTTAACTGTGCTCGGAGCCTCCAGCCTGAAGTGACTTCTTCAGCCGTCCTCTATGACAATAACTCTATTAAGCAATAAGCTCTGGTTGTTCCCTCTGCAAATAGAATGTCCTTGAACACTCCTTGCAAAAAGAAACAAATTATTTCTGCTGGCTTCTGAGAAAGGGGAACGATCCTTATAAGCCTTAAAATAAATACTTGTAATATTTTCACCAACAGCTTAGTAGTTTGGCCCATTCAAGAAGACTCTGGAGCACGCAGTCCTCTCATTGTCTGGTTAACTAATGGCTAACAAACATTTCCCTTTGTTTGTGGAATGTCCAAAAGCCACTCTCTGTCTTCTTCATTTAATTTGCCCAGATTGTGGGAGCAAAGGCTTCCCGGCTCTACCCCTTGCTGGCCTTGTGACTTTGTATAAACATTCTGAGTTACTTTGTTTGCAAGGAAGATAAGGGACTAAGCATCTCCTCCTTCCCCAGTTGTTGGGCTGATTAACTGAAGCCACCAGCGAGGCCCAAAACAGCACTCAAAACTGTCCATGGGTATGCTTTCAAATAAATGTTGTATTTTACTTAGATTGGAATAAACTACACAAAACTGATTTCTTTCACCAAAAATATTTTCAGAATTATTTCTAAAGAAACCACAAAACCACTATTTTTATAGGCTTTTGCCTCTAAATAAAGACAAGGCAATCGATAT